TGGCACAGGTGAAAGAGAAATTACCGTGGATGGGCCTGAAGAAATTCCGGATAAAACAAGAGGAAAACTAGAAGATGATCACAGGAGGACAGCAGATAAAACTCAGCTGAATCGCTTCAGAAGGTATTGGTAGGCATATCATATTAAGCGTTAGGCAAATATTCTGAGCATCCATATTCCACGTAAAGTCTACTTCAAATCATGAGTGCGTGGAAATGGAACTCGCTTCAAGCGCATTGCGCTCTTACAAACAGTGAGTTGAGGGGATCCAAAAATATGTTATTATGACAGTTAGTTTGCCCCGCGAAGCAGACAAAATTGTCGAAGTAGCCTAAGCACGGCTCATTGCTGCAGTTCATTTTGAACACTGCAGAGCTTGCGAAGAAGCGGAAGACAATTAGTTCGCCCAGCGAAGCAGACAAAATCCCCTCGAAAAAACTGACGAAAACACTTCGCTAGCTTATGAAAGGCCAATGACCAAGTGCGGGAGAACAGAGGAATAGCGTGTATTAGTAATCGCAGTGTCTCTTACAAGGGAGGTCGTTCAGGGCGTGGTGAGCTTTTTCAAAATGGTCTTGTGCATATTGTAGGGCACACATACGAGGACCAGAAAACTGAGTTTCGTTTTCGCTGCGCGCTTCTACGAATAAAGAAAAACGTAAAAAATAGGTCGATGGTTCGGATCCCACCGAGGACAAAATTTTGCTTTTCTACAATTTTTCATTTTTTGGATCCATGTTTGTCTAAATAATTGGTCCTAATAAAAACATTCACGATGAACTGAACAATCCTATGTTATTGGCAATACTGCTTTTTCGTCTCGATTCGTTAAGTATGCAGCAGCTCAAGCTTATGCCGGCGGTGCCAGAGATGGCAACTGGAACCAAAAATAAAAGTCCAGAATCGTGATCAAGCGACTGTCGATACCCTAGGGCGAGTCTGAGCAATAAAAAAACCCTTTTTGACTTTTTACAGGGTTGTAGGAGACCGTTTGGTCGCAGTGTGAGCCGGAGTCCTCACATCTCGTAACAGCGATGCGTATCGTTGACGCTACGGACACCGGACAACCCAATAAGCAAACCCAAGAAGGTCAAAACAATTGTTTTGACTGAAAATTCGTTTTTAGTGGTAATAAGTGGCCCTGATCACAAATGTAACACCTATTCTTGGCGTCCACGCAATTTGGCGACAGAATAGCGCTGAACGTTCCCTATATTGGTGTACATAACGAATTCAGTGGAAAGAAGATGTGGCCCCAAATTGTCTATAATTCGCAGCCACACCAGAAGTTACTAAATTCGCAATCAGATCCACTGTATATCTATCTATATCTGTCAGCAAACAATCTTGTTCAATGGTGCGTGAAAATCGAAATACTTTAATAGCACTGACTCATGAGGTATAGCTACTCAGAATGTGCCCATAAATGGAAAATATCCGAGTTATATTCATGCGCAGACACAAAATGGAAGCGAGAACAGCGAAATCTAAAAAATGCAAAAAGCGCTACACCGCCGGGCAGCCGAACCTTTCAACCCACCACTCACTGTCCGATTGCGAAACCTCCACTATATCCGCTAGGCCATCCGGTGCTCGGCTATGCTAGCGCTCTTATCGTTGATGAAACCATTGCAAGAAGCCGTTCACCCTTGAGCACATGACCCAAGTTGGAAGCTCACTTACGGCGATTTTTCGCTTCGATTCAAACGGCCCCTTTATAAGGACCCCCCACTCAGCAACTGGTCAAAGTTGCAAGTGACCTACGCCGCATAGAGGCCCAGAACGAAGCAGATTCCACAGATTTCTTTTCACTCGTTTTTTACCTTTCCCGGAAGCGCGCAGCGAAAATGAAGCACACTTTTCAGGTCCCTGCATGAGCCCCTACAATATGCAAAAAACCGTTTTCGAAAAGCGCACCACGCCCTGAACGACCTCCCTTGTTAGTTATGCGGGGATTTTCACACTGAGAGGAGCAGACGACCTCAACGATAAGGCCATAACTCACTCGCCGGCACCTCGCCGCGTACTCCTAGCACCTTGTTTGCACTACGGAGGATTGCTGCGAACTAGAAGTTCTTGTGTTCACAGTATATTGCTTTGGCAGTCGTTTATTGTTGACTGCTCGGTGAGTCGGCTAGTGGTAGAATGTTCACAAAAGGGGGCGTCCCTCAAACAACAGACGGGGTTGCGCCTGGTCTATCTAATCTGTTAACCAAGGGTCATAAATACATTACCAGGGGCCTAAGTCACATTCACTCAATATCCTCGCTGTGTCTAGATGACACTTATAATTGATGGAGGTTCTGGAGGCATAGGCACTCCAGAACACTTGGCTCGTCTAACTCACTTTCACTTTCCACTGGAATAAGCGTTTCGCCATCAGTGTTCCCTCTCTCCTGCTCCTCCGTATGTTCCTCCTCGAGAGCGTTCGGAGGCCCGATGGAAGAGAACGGTGAATTGAATTCTTTCGGATCCTCTTCTTCAGGAGTGTAGTTCAAGAGGCTAGAAAGAAAAAAAAGAAAAACAAGGCAAAACCCGCCAGAATAAAAACCACCAAATATTAAACGAATGTAATTTCCGCCACGAAATCCTTCGCCTATACAGTGTGTAACAAAAGTATGTTGACACCTCAAAATCTAGTTTTAAAATGGAACCAAAAGACTTTCTCGATCTGCATCCTTCCTCAATCGAATCCCCGTGGCCGATAACCCTATAATTCTGCACTCGAGCGATAAAGAATCTTCACTTCCGTAAGCTGTTTTTGAATTGAATTTCTTGTTTGGTACCAAAGTAATGCAGACGCCTTGAATGAGGTTCATAAGCTTCGGCTCCAAATCTGCATCGAACATTCTTTATTCTCTCTACTTCCCCACTGTACGCTAATCATGCTCGTCGTGTGATACTCCCTCGGTCCGAAAGACGACAAACTCATATTCGAGCTCTCAGCTGCTGCTCGAACACTCGGAACAGGGAAATGTAAAGACAGCTCGGAACGTTTGACCGAAAACCGTGCGTTGTACAGTACCTCTAGAGTTCCTGATGGCTACTATTCAGCACCTATTTCGGGGCGCCCACGGTCTTCGTCCGCAAAAGACAACAGAAGAATAGCGCGTACTGGCTCAAACTCTCCCATCTCCGTGGCACAGATCCATGCTGCGATGAATCTACCGGTCTCAAAAAATGACGATATGGCGCTCTATTCGATCGAATGAGCACATCACTCGAGAGAACTTGGAGAAAGCTCCTCGTCTGACTGCCTAACACCAGCTGGCGAGACTGAACTTTGCGCGTGCAAACATGGCGACGTCGTGGGACAAGGTGCAGTTTTTTGAGAAATTTGTAAAATCAGAAAGACAACATCTTATGCGCATTTCTTTCTTAGGTTATCTTCACTGATGAGAAAAGGATCAATCTCGACGGTTCAGATGGATAACGGCGAGCTACTCGGAGAAACCTTTATCGCGGATTCGCGTTTTGGTGTGCTCGGCGAGGCGAATGATTTTCGGAGACGGGTGGTATGATGGTTGTTGGAAGCAGTAGATCAAGCCTGGAGCTTGCTTCCATCCTGACCGTCATGAACGTCGGGGAATACCAAGAGCTTGAGCGTCTACACCTCTTTCCTTCTTTCTGAGTGGGCCACGACGCAGGACGTATGCGCTGCAGCAGGAAACCGCCGCCGCCCATGTTTCAAATTCTACTAGAAAATGGCTCCAATTCAATGGTATCAAAGTGATGGATTGGCCGGTATCTTCTCCTGACTGCAACCCAATCGAAAACCTGTGGGGAAAAAAAATCCATGGGGGGTTTTGTCGACAAATCTAGCATGAACAGTCCGCAACTACCACAACGCGCGAAGACTCGACAGTAGGCGGTACATAGTTGGCTAAACATGAAGATATGACGAGGATACTATCACAATCTTGTCCCACCCAGCATGCCAGAATGTTCGAATTAACGGTGAATCTCTGGAGAAATGCAAACTCTAGTACCCCATCAGAATTTTGTTTTTTGTTAAGTGTCCACATAATTTTGTTATTAAGAAACTTTTTCAAAACAATAAATAATTGTACAGTAGTTCACAAAGTGCTCAGAAGTAGTGTATTCCTATGTTTTCGCTTATGAGGAATTCAACAATGAATGTCTCATATCGCGAAATCGCAAAGGTCGCGAAATCCAAAGGCAATTTCGCAGAACAAAAATTTGAGGTGTCCACATACTTTTGTTACGCACTGTATAAAATGCATACCTATGGATTGAGAGGTGACATATTTGAAGTAAACGTGAGTGGAGGTAAAAGACGAAACACCAACTAGAGAAGGACCTTAATCTCCCCTGGTGGAAGAAAATATAGCAAATTAGAAAAAAAACTCACAGCTGAGGGTCGAATGAAAGCCCTTTCACTTGGAAAGCTGGCGCGATTTCGGTAGTTTTATTTCAGGTAGGGCTAGTCACCTGAACGGATTATATAAGTCCAACGCCGTAACGCATCTTGAACATACTTCGGGTAGGAGGGTTTCCTCATTCCGAAGATAGGCAGTAATCGTGCCTGAATTTTCCTGATTGAGCCTGAATTTTCTTTTTGCTTTTTCCCCCTCTCTGGGGAGTCACTTTTCGGCTGCCTGTTCATAATTGAACATGCCCCATCCATCATACTCGATCACAGGAATTTTCTTCAATATAAAAGCACACTCCGCGATAATTGAATGGGCAGAAAAAGGGTGAACATTCATACCTACTGCGCCTTCGTCACTGGCAAGCAACTACTGCCTAACAAGTTAGGAGGAACGCGCCATCGAACAGGGCAAGTGGACTGGTTCTCAGCCCATTTCCTCTCTTCGCTATTCGGTCATCACGGGGAAATGTGCTGTGAATCTACAAACCTTGCTCTATAAAAACATGTTAAATGTGTTAAGAGCTCGAACAGAACTTTCCTCTTTGCAACTCCGGCAATCTTCCAACTAACAATAACTCGAAGTAGTTGTGCTAGCTGGAGACGAAATTCATGTGCACCGTTGGTGGAATGGAATTTGGGGCACACCCCTAGCAGACAGGGCGTGCGGTTCAAGCACTTTTAGGCATCCGGACAAGCGGTGACACGATTTTCTCCTCTCTCTTTCAGCAATCGCACGCGAGCCTGCCGCTGTCACATGAACCAGATGGACGCCCGTATCCAAATAAGGAGTTAGAACCTGCTCATAACTGCTCACCTTTTCTGGCAGCTCCAAGTCATCCGGTAGAACAGATTCGAAAAACTGCGACAAAACGTGAACGATAAAAGCGATGGTAGTCATTGACAAATTGAATCCATATAGAGATACTGTAATGGGAACTTAATCACATAAGTCTTGGTCGCTAGGATGCTGGGGCGTGTCAAAAGGGGGGATGCGGGAGTGGCGCGATACTAACCTGTTCCCCACCGAATTGTTGAGGAGACACGACATCTACCTAGTGGAAAGGACAAGTCTCGCTAGACCACGCCGCAGCATTCTGTAGCACATTAACGAGTGAACACGTTCAAAAGATTCGTTAAACATGAAAATTACATGATAATAGTTATGAAAAATTGAACAGATAGGAATATTGGAGAGCTGTGTGAAACATAGCTCAACTCCCCTTTCTGACGTGCGCTCAGAAGGAAGCCGAGCAAAAGCGCAGTCTTTCATTGTTCTCATCAGTAAGGTAATGCCTGGGCACGAGAAGAGTTTCTCCATTTTTGCAGTAATATTCAATATCGACGACTTCATCATGTAAGAAATGCTCAGTTGAGAGAAGATTGAGGTACAGGGTACAGCATCGTTGTGTAAAACACATAGGGGTCGTACTTTTCCGCTGGGGAGGGGGGGGTCGTATTTGGTCGTTGGGAGAGAGGGGAGTCGTATGTGCCTTTGAGAGAAATTTGCTGCGTTGGGAAAAATTTTGGAGAAAATTTCGAAAAAAGAAACTGGACTGGAAAATGTGGGAAATTGGTGGGTAGGTGCTGGGCAAGAGGAGGGGAAAGGTCGTACCGAGGTCCTTAACTCTCAAATAGGTAGGGGGTCGTATTTACACCCTCTCTCGGAAGAAGGGGTCGTACCTACACTACCATTTCAGACATCACGATGATGTACCCTTACTGTATATACAGTTTAGTTCGCTGCGGACGAAGGGGCGTATCGGACGGGATGAAATTGCCGCGGTGCCGAACCGATCCTCAACCAGTTGTTGAAGCGAGAATTGTCAAGATTGTACCACATCGTTCGTATCACTCGTTTTCTACCAGTTGTTATCGTACACCCGCTTCAACAGCTGGAAGAGAACGGGTCTGGCGCCGTGGCACACTCATACAACAATGGGACAACGTACCTATCTTAGGTATGCTTCCGCTACCCGGTGGTAACTCCCGTATGAGGTCCCATCCAAAGAGACCTTGAAGGAGAACGTTGAAAATCACCAACGCAATCGCCATCGATGGTGTATCAATCCAGAACGAACTCAATGTCAACAGACAGGTGATGATCTGAAAAGTATACCAGCAATTCTTTAGAGTGCCAACTCAGATCCAGGGAGTTGTTACTATTAATTGATAGAGTTAGTAGGCGAGATTCAATGGATCTCACGGCAGACTGAGATACATTGGAGCTTGCTTGTTGACTCTAATCTGTGGGGGGGGGGGTTAGGTGGGCTTCCATACTTCGCTTCACTTCTTAAAGCTCGCAATGGGAAGAGTGGTGGCGCTGCCTCAACACAGATTTCTTGTCGCGCTCCCGCACACAATAAAGGTTGAGAAATCCCGCACGAGGTAACCTTGCGCGCTATTGCAGTCTGCTTGAACCACCCCTTATAGGGGGGATGTGTGGAGCTTCAATTCCCAGTCTCAGCACTGCAGCACGAGTTGACCTGGAAGACGCTCGACTTGATAGAGTCGACGCACCTGGCCTCTACCATTTTAGACGGGTTGAGTCCAGGTGTACGTCACCCCACTTGAAACGCCTATTTCGCCGTGATTTGGACGTAAAGCTTCACACCCCAAACGGGTAACATAGTAGACTGTACAAAACGCTTCCTTCTAGTGCCTCAAAAGATCCCAAAGTCATAGCCAGTAATTCGACTTCACAGACATAAAGTCATTATCCCTGCAAACGACAGTACCCCTGCAAACGAAAGATGCGACGGCTGACCGCAACGCAACAGCAGCATCCTTGCATCCAAGCTCATGATTTCAGGGCGACACCATCGCTGTTCTTGTGATCAGTTTCCTGGAAAATACGACCCCCCTCAGATCTCTATCTTGAATACGACGTTTCCCCTGGCTACCTAATGCGCTTTCACTAGATTCTTCCCAACCTTTCCTACAATCCCGCGATTTGTATCAATTTTTCTCTCGAAAATTCCTGGTTTTAATTTATTACAAATTTTTGCCTGTCGATCCGATGGGGGGGGGTGAGCTACTGGCGTAGCTGAGTACCTGAAGTACGTCTTCAAGCACATTCCAGCACATCCTGGTGCGATGGAGAATCACCAGGACAATGCGCAGGAAGGACTGGCGGGCGATGATAGAAGCTACGATGACCGCCCACAAGGGCATCATGAATTGATAAACAAACCAAAGGACTCACGACGTGACGATCAATAAACAGATGAAAATACATTTCCGGACCTTTCTGATCGCCAGCAGACATGTAATTGCACGTTTGGAAGCCCCATCTAAAGTTATACCGTTTCAAAGCCCCCATAGTTCTCCACATCTGCGTGATAAGGCCCCATAGCATGGCGCTCTTTGCAGAGTGATGTCCAATTGGTCCAATGAACTATTTCCTGATATTCTTTCGCGGAAACTGCTTTAGAAGCATAGAAAGTTTTCAAGCCAAACTGCGGTTTTATGCGCCTCGGAGGGCGTTAATTTTTCTGTGTCGTGGGAAACAGTGATCACTGTGTGATAAACAAAGCGGGGCGATTTTTTCCGAATTGCAGCAGGCTACGGGAGGAAAACGCGCAAGCTTCTGCTGGAAAGTTAGAGAAGCTTCATATTTCGGCACAGTTCTTTTCATTACGAGAAGACCGTAGTATGAAGCGCCATGGAAGATGTCCCAAAGGTTAGCGACTTGGGTTAGTTGGCACTTCAATCCAACGAATTATACGTCACTCCGGCCCCACCTGGTCCCCCGGTCCTAGGGTTCAAAAAAGAGGGTACTTCTCGATGACGTGTTATCGCTTGGAATGATAAGGCGCTCCAGGTCGTAAGATTAGGCGCGCTCCAATGTCCTTTAGCATGAGCGTCGGATGGAATTGGGATGTAGGCTGCCGGCTGACACCGCGAAACAATTGCATTCAAAATGGACAGTTTGAATCAATTATTCCTCACCATTAGTTGAGTCTTAACCGCTCTCCCAACTTCAGGAATAGGTATGCGCTTTTACCGACCCCCCCCCACCCTCCAATGCGGACAAATACGACCCCTCCCCCGTTCGTTGATGATCACAACGATGGGCGTGCCCCCCTGGCGCTATGATGCATCTGGAGCCTTACTTACTGAGTTGATGAAAATCTGACCTGAGCTGCGTTTCAAGTAAGACCATATCCCCCCCCCCCTTTACACAGCCCGCATCCCTTTGCAGGGATCATGACTGTAACTTTCAAATGACGAGGCTGTGTACAATCACTCAGTTCCCATCACCGTCTCTTTTTTGCTGTAGTTTTGACAAGCAAATAGCTCCTCCCTCAAGAGCAAGGGTTTGAGCCTCATTCATGCTCGAAAAACGGATGAACCCATTCGTTCAGCAAATTTGCTCTCAAAAGCTGGACATAATTGGGCAATGAACGTTCGGGAGTCGCGGGAAGGGTTCATCCATGAGGTTCCGGGACGAAAAAACTAGAAAAAGGAATTAGAAAAAGAACGGGACGACTTCCAATCGTCCCGTTCTTCTTCTAGTCCGCTGACTACTAGAAACCACGATTATAGGTACGTTTTCCTAGAAGCTTGGCACATATCCAGTTCCCGCGAAACCTGACTCCTAACCCATTTACCGACTATCACGCAGGAATACCTGGGAATCCATGGTTGCGGCATCATGTTCACCACACTGAATATTCAAGTGTGCTTTCGCATCGAATTTCATTGAGAATTTCGTATTCTTTAGCCAGCTCAATATGTAAGAGAAATGCCCTGAAGGCTACTCACCGTAGGCATAACGATGGTGAGTCCGAAGTAGGGAGCATGTCGTTTCAGCTTCACACCAAACTCCAGCAGTGACCAGTACCATTCTGGCTGCAGAAAAAAAATGAATGAATGAAGGATTCTTCATTTCGAAACATTCAGTACGCGGAGGGAGTGGATGCTCTCTTTGCTAGTTTGGAAAAACCGTTCCTGCAGCTCCTGTCGACATCGCTCTTTCAGCACTCAACGCTAAGATTTTTGAAAAAACTCTCAAGAATTGTCATACTCTTTTGCTGATCGAATCTCTTCTTGCATAATGCAGGCAATTTACTCAATTCTGAGAAAATGTGAGAATCAAATTGGGTTTTCTACGGTCAAAATATAGACATAAATTTCTGCTTCCATGGAAAAGAAAATATGGCTGCAATTGCAAACCGAGTACTCTTTTTTTTGCAGTGTCCTGCCTCATTTTTACACTCGAGATCCCTGAGATCGGGTAGGCGTGGCCGCATGTTTCAACTTATACCTCGGACAGGCGCTGCGTGAAGCCTTTTCCAAGGAGGGTACCTCTATAACGCCCTACTTGAGCAACAACTTTACGTCCCAAACGCCTTCCTTGCCCGCCCGCCCACAAA